CCCATAAAGAATTGCCTTCTTCGTGTTTTTAACATTTTTCCTCTATTATCCCTGTGATTCAAACACCTTTTTTTATCAAAAGATAGCCCTTGAAATTCTCTACAAAACCACATATGACTAGACCTTAAAACTATTTCAGATATATCTGAGAAAAGATGAAAAATGAAGACACACAAAAAGCTGTAAAAAATAACGGATTGTACATAATGAAGGATCGCGCTTTGTATCTAATGTTTTCATCACTTCGTCCTATTAAAAAACAGAATAAACCAAGAGATGCAGCGTGAAAACGTCCACAATTTATATAAGACCGCCTATTTTATAGTTGCACTTTTTGTCTTCAAAATGGACAAGATTTTGAGCGATCAAATTTGGACCGTGCGAAAATAATATTTTTTTAGTACAAGATGAATTCGTTTTTTCTTATTTTATCTTCTTATTACCTGATATGTTTTATTTAAAAAAAAACACCACAAGATGGAGCGTAAAAAACTCTACAATTTACAAAGAACAAATTATAAAAAAGAGAAAATAAGAAAAAAGGAATTCATCTTGTACTAAAAAAAATATCATTTTCGCACGGTCGAAATTCGATTGCCCAAAATTTTGTCCATTTTGAAAACAAAAGGTGCGACTATAAAATAGCAGATCTTGTGTAAATTGTAGAGCTGTTCAAGCTGCATCTTTTGGTATACTTTATTTATCTAATAGGGCGAAGTAAGTGATGAAAACATAGGATGCAAAGCGTGGCCATTCATTAATGTACAACCCGTTACTTTTTACCGCTTTTTGTGTGTCTTCATTTTTCATCTTTTTTCAGATATATCTAAAGCAGGTTTAAGGTCTAGTCATATATGATTTTGTAGAGAATTTCAAGCGGTATCTTGTGATAAAAAAGGTGTTTGAATCACAGGAATAATAGAGGAGAAATATTAAAAATACTATGAGGGCAATTCTTTATGGGCCACCCGTTATTTTTACAAAAATCTGTAAGAGAAAAAAAAAATACACTAAATAGACTAAATAGTAGAAATAAAGAGAATATGGAATGCGAGTAGGTGAAGAGAAGACCACATCCTTGTTTTTAGTAATTGAAACAGTTTCCTCAAGTTGTATGCGAATAACGAAAACAAACAAAAGTTAATCGAGATGACAAGAAAGGTGCTCCGACTATTCATCGCATAACATATTAGTTTGAAAGTATGCTATAAGTGAGCGAAAAGTCACCGGATAATCTTTAATTTCGAATAACTTATGATAAGATCAAGATAAAAAGTTGCGGTTTTCACCGTTCAAAAGAGATTCTGTTACTACGTAGTTTCATGTACTATTCAACAGTGTTGCTTGTTGCCATGGTAATCAGTCGGTGGCAAGGGGGAAACGACGTACTCTCGTACTCCTATACTCTACGGAGTCGATGTATTCCAACTGGACTCCATGTACTCTCACTGGACTCCGTGGACTCTGTGGACTCTAAGAGTGCAATGAGAGTCCATAGAGTACGGTATATTGAACGTTAACTATAGATTCACAATATCTTTAATATTTCTATTAAGTTTCCCCATTTCTTCGTCGGAAACGACTCTGATGAAAAACAGACTATTTTACTAACTAGAATTATATTGACTTAATTTTTATAACGAAATAAGCAAAACTAAATACAACCAGGATCTCAAAGAATCTAGAACTCTTCTTGCGCTGCGAGTATAAACTTCTTTTTTGGGCTATGTATCAGCATGCGAAACATAGATGTCGACTAGAAAGTAATGTACTAACTGTATCTCTCAATTAACATAAGTCTGTAACTAATCATTAACACAAAAATCGGTTGGCGATATCCGGAGATCGAAAAATATCCACTTGCAGATGAGTACGCAAATGGAAACACGAATTACATCATGACCCAAATATTATTGACAAGTCTATTGCGTTATTTAGACAATGAATTCAAATCATTTTTTTCTTGTAACATATAAAAATACGTTCTGTTGTTGTTCTTCATCTATATTTTAAATATTCCAATACAAGATGCAAAAGTCAAATTATCAAGTTTTTTTTCAAAAATATAATAAAAAAAAGTGACTTTTGACAAAAAAAAACAAAAAGTTCTAACAAATCATTTCTTCGTTATGTCCTATTTTTGCATAACACGAGTGAGACGATCGTTTAACAAGACCGGCTTGTTTTCAGTGAAAATCCAACAAGCAGTCTGTTTGTGAACAAATTTTGTGTTACCACCTATTTCAACTTCAAAAAAAGATTTTGCCAACTCGGGTCGAACTGTGTCGAATACTCGCATTCCAGAGAACTTAATTCCATCTAAACCATTTAAGATTTCATTTGACGAGATACATGATGTTTCATATTGTTGATCTTCACTTTCAACGTCACTTTCTGAATCGAGAACAATATCTAATTCATCTTCTGAATCTGATGTTTCATCTTTTTCTTCATACAAGTCAGAATAATCCATAATATTTATTCTTTGTGTTAGGATGTTGTGAATATAGCTGTTAAGTTGCTTCATATTTGTAATTTTCTTTTCATCAAGAAAATTTTTAATTTTAAAGCCGTGTATTAAGTTAGTAGCATCATTAAATGCTTGTAAAATTGTATTTGAAATTATATCTACATTGAGTGTATTATGATTTGAAATTATATTATGTTTTTTTAATTTTTTTCCTTGTTTATAATGTTTTGGAAAAACAAGAGTACCATTCATTGAGAAAAATTCACTTTCAGTTTTGATTTTATTTAAGAGAGAAAGTTTCTGTGCACGATTAAAAAATTCTTGTACAGTAAAATTTACAACAGACGAAAATGTTCCTGATATGGAACGGGCAGAGCGAAACATACCCTCACAGGTTTGAGAACTAAATAAGTAAATATTCATTGCTTCTGGTGGTAACCTTTTTTCTGTTACTAATAAGGCAAGATACATTAGTTGATTAGCATTGATTTCAATACAATAATAAGCATTATTAGTAATAAAGAACTGGTGTTTTTTATTTTTTCGATTATTTTTAATTCCACTAAGTTCATATAAAATATCATCTAAGTCTACTTTTCGCATGTTAGCAATCCAAGTGTACCACCAGCGACTAACAAAAACTGGAAACCATGCATGATAAAGTCTATGAATTGGAGTTGTTTCTTTGTCATTGTATGCAATTATAATAGAACGAAGAAGGCGAAGATACAATATTATGCCCTCAGAATTAGGAACATTAGTTAAATTATTAATTACACCGCCACTACATATTTTAACACAAGAACTGAAATTTTGACGATCCTGTGGGAAAATGTCAGATTTTACTAAACCATGTCGTAACTTTGGAACGTTTTGAATTAATGTTGAGAGATAATCAATAGAAATGCAACTATTTCCAATTAACATATTAGCTTTACGAGATAACAGTCGATTACGCAATTTAGTGCAAAGATGCGTGGCATCTTGAAAGCATAAAAATCGTTGACTATCATTAAGAAAATACCAATTCCACTCCTTTTGAATTTTAACATGAAATGCATCGTTATAACTATTTAATTTAATATTCGGTAGTGTAGCAAAAAAACCAGTAACAAGGCGCATTGCGCGAAGATATTTTGGATCTCCATCAGTGAAGAATCCAACAATACGAACATTTTTTAACAAACTTTGTTCGAATATCCATATCCAACGACGAATAATATCAGTTGATTCATATTCATTATTAGTTCCAAAAGCCGAAAGTAAAAATGGATTTGGTGATACTTGCATATTAGTGATAGGCTGAATCATATGGATATTAATTAAAGGCGAATAATCTTCACTAGAAAACCACTCACGAAGTCTTTTAAAAGAGTCTGTTTGGTAATGTAAAGCAGCAGGTATTCCATCATTTAATGGTGCAGAAAAA